TGGCCCGCGAGCCGAGTGGGGGGGCGGCGGGGGCGGCGTGGAGGGGGACGGCGCAGCATGGCGGCTGGAGGAGCAAGGGGGGGCCACGGGGGTGGCACGGCAGGGCCGGAGGAGCCATGGAGGGGGAGGGTCGGTGCGGCTGGAGGAGAAGCCAAGGGGGCATGGCCAGAGGAGGAGCTAAGGGGGGGGCGCCTTTTTTATCTTTGCTCCCCCTCCTCTTAAAAGCTAGCTACGCCACTGGTGCTAGGCAGCCTTTTTTTGGAACACAGGAAGTACAAGTCACATGGCAAAAATATATAAAGAGAAGCTGTATCATCTCCATTTTGTCTTCATTCCTGCTTCTTACCTCTGGAGTAACTTTTCTATAAACTGAAGCTCTGAACAAATGACTGAACGACCCATCCAAGCTGTGGATGTGCTCCAGAGGGACTTTCAAGCCAGTAATTCACCAATATTGCTAAGAACCTGATATTTGGACTTTGAAGTCTTATGTGTGTATCTGATTGCTTGACCATTTAACAACTCCCTTCTTGTTCTTTTCTTATCTTATAAACCTTTAGTGTTAGATACTAAAGGATTGGCTGGAAGCATGGTATTTTGGGTAAGATCCAAACTAATATTGATCTGGTAATGTGGCTGGCCCTTGGGGGTCAGAAGAACATTTTGTTTAAATAACTTCTCACTTTACTGGACCTAGGTGGTGAACAGAGAACTGGAATGCAATAAAGGGGGCTGTATGATTTCATTTTTTCAGCTTCTTGATAACTAATGTGGGGGATCAGAAGCACAGTTTGCGACTGGTTGGTGAGTCTAATTTCAGTGTTAACCACCAGTTTTGGAAGTATCTGCTCTCCTTTTTTCAGCCTGCCCTGCCCTTGGCATTTTCAGTGAGGGCTTCCCTAGACACCCTGGGTCACGCCAGGGTCTTACAGTTACTCAGAGACACAGATGTTTCCAGGTGTGCTGGGTGGGAGGGTGCCCTTGTATAAAGCCAACAGATGAGGAAATGTTCCTGGATATCCTTTGGAGAGATTGAATGGTTCCTAGGAGATGTGTACATTCAGGGATCTCCACTCTGAGGGATTTTAAGAATCTGGCATAGCTCTTACCCCTTTGTAACCCTGCTGAGACCAGAGCCCTTTCCAGGCACAGAGCCTGTCCTGGGAAGAGCGGGACACACAAAATCTCCAAATGTGAGAATGAGCCTATGTTTAAAAAGACGAGGAACACACCACCACCGTCTCTCTTGGATGGGGTGGATTAACATCTTCCCCCCGTCTCCAAATTGCCTCTTCTCTGGAAGAGGAATAGAGGTGACAGGCTGTCTCTCAAGAGTTTTGGGGACTACTGGGCTGATCCCCCTGAAATCCAGGGTGCTTTCCTGGTCCCCTAAATACAAGCTGATTTTGGTTCATCAGAGATCCCCCTGCTTCTAATGCCTGAGGGGACAGGATTTCTTACCCAGCAAGGTCACATTCTCATAATTCTCCTGCATCACATCCATGTAGAGGGTTCTCTGACATGAGTCCAGCAGAGCCCACTCCTCCTCCGTGAAATACACAGCCACCTCCTCGAAGGTCACTGGTCCCTGAAATAGCCAGAGTCCCCCACTCAGGACCTGTTCCCCCATCCACAATCCCCCAGCTCAGTCTCAGGCAATGTGATGGGGGTAAGGTTGCCAACTGTCATATCACAGAAGCCCAAACACCCTTGCCCTGCCCCTTCCCTAAGATCCCGCCCCTTTCGTGAGGCCCCGATCCGCTCATTCCATCCCCCCTCCCTCCGATGCTCACTGTCCTCCACCTTCACTCACTTTCACCGGGCTCAGGCAATGGATTGGGGTGTGGGAGGCGATGCAAGCTCTGGGCTGGAGCCGAGGGGTTCAGAATGTGGGAGGGGGCTCCGGGCTGAGCCTGGGGTAGGTGTGCAGGAGGGGGTCTGGGGTGCAAGCTCGGGGGGGGGGAGGGGGAGTTGGGTGCTAGACCAGGCTCAGGGCTGGAGGGGACTGGAGTGTGTGTGGGGGTGTGGGGTGCAGGCTCTGAGAGGGGGCTCAGGGCTGGGGCAGGGGATTGGGATGTGGGAGGGTGCAGGGCCAGCCCTAGGTTTTTTGCTGTCCCAAGCTCAGGTGGGGCTGGGGCTCGCAGGCAGCACTGGAAGCAGAGGGAGCGATGTCACCTTCTCCCAGCGCCTGCAGGGGCTTTACCCCCTTCCCCGCCCGGCCACGCAGAGAAGCCCCAATATAAGGGGTGGCACAAGGCAGCGCAGCAGCCAGTGCGCAGATGGGGCGGCGCAGCCCCTGCTCCCCAGCAGGACTCGCCCTCTCCTCCCCAGGTAACGGCTGGGCCCTGGCAGCTCAGCATCCCAGGGCTGGGGCTTCCCCTTCCCATTGCGGCCGGGGCGCGGCACCCTTGCCCCGTCTAAGTGGTGCAGCTCCGAGAGCACAACTGCCCCGAATAAAAAGGATGGCCGGAATGCCGCCCCTGGAAATGTGCTGCCACGAGCACGTGCTTGCTTTGCTGGTGCCTAGAGCCGGTCCTGGGAGGGGGTGACAGATGCAGGCTCTATGAAGGAGTTTGGGTGCAGGACAGGGCTCCTGGCAAGGCAGAGGGGTGGGGTACAGGAGGGGGTGCAGGCATTAGGAGGGAGTTTGGGTGCAGGAGGAGGCTCAGGGCTGGGGCAGGAAGTGGGGATGTGTGGGAGGGGTGAGGGGTCTGGGCTCCAGCCGGAAGGCACTTACCTCAGGCGGCTCCCAGGTGGTGGCGCAGTGGGGATAAGGCAGGCACTCTGCCTGCCCTGGCTCTGTGCCACTCCTGGAAGTGGCCGGCAAGTCCCTGCAGCACCTGGGGGGGCCCAGTGGACTCTGTGCTCTGCCCCTGCCTGCAGGCACTGCCCCCACAGCTCCCACTGGCTGCAGTTCCCAGCCAATGGGAGCTGCAAAGTCGGCACTCGGGGTGCAGGCAATGCACGGAGACCCCTGCCCCCACTCCCCACCCGCCGCAGAGACAGGCTCCCTGCCTTCCCTGGCCACTTCCAGGAGCAGTGCAGAGCCAGGGAAGGCAGGGAGCCTGTCTTAGCCCCGCTGCGCTGCTGGACTTTTAGCCTAAAATCTCCCGGTTGGCTTCAGTAGCCTCCAGGAGACCGATTCTGAGAGACTCCTGGCGAAACCAGGAGGGTTTCCAACCCCAGATGGGGGTTGCTCCCTGCACGGACCCTGCAAGAGCTGAATTGGGCTAGTTGAGCCCAATCAGCTAATTCGGCTGCCAACAGGGGAGCGTTAAGCTAGAGGCAGCTAATTAGAGAGCGGCTCACTGTGCAGGGATAGGCGGGGCCTATATAAACCAGGAAGCTGGCTACAGACAGGGGTAGCAGGCAGGCAGGCTGCAGTCACTCCCTGGGAGGAGGGAGCTTGGCTTGGCAAACCCAGAGAAGGGACAGATCCAGAAAGGGTGGTAAAGCTCAGGGGGAAAGCAGCGAGGTATGGGGTAGACCAGACTTGGGCTGCTGATGAGAGAGCCCTTGAGCCAGGACCCAGAGTAGAGGTGGGGCCCGAGTCCCCCTACCAGCCACTGAAGAAGTGGTACTGGCAGGGCAGTGAACAGGGAGACTGCCTGAGCCCCGGATTGTCAAGAGGGACTTTGGTACACGTAGGGTGATCAGGCCTGAGTCATGAAGTGGGGACTGCAGTTCCAGCAGTGAGAGGGGCCCGCAGGATGATGGGAGAGACACTGACAGAGGAGAAGCTAATCCCCTGAGCTGCCAGGAGGAGATGCCACATGCCATGAGTCAACCCCATTACAGGTAGGGCTGGAAAATCTCCCTGCTTACTCTGGGGAAGAAGGGTAAAGAACCAGTGGGGGGAAGAAGTAACCCTGGGGGAGGATTGAGGAGGGGAAATGGGGATGTGGTGGGGACAGTGGGGATGGGGAGTGTTTGGGGGGGGGGAGATGAGAGGGAGTAGAACAGGGACTGTTTCTAATGAGCCCCAGATTTCATCAGGTCAACCTCTGCAAATGGGGGGGGGATTTCTGGGGTCAGGTGGGAAGGGGAAGGGGAGGGGGCAGAGTAATGAGCAAATGGAGGGCAAAGGGTAAAGCAACTCAGTGCAGGCCTGGGGCATCTGCAACTCCCATGACCCCCATCTCTGTCTCCGCATCCCTCTTACCCTTCCTACACATCCCCACCCCACACACCACAGTGCAGCCTACAGAGGAATCTCCCTGCTACCCCCCAGCTGCTACCTATACAGACCACAGTCCGGGGGCAGCAGCTTCCCATGCGGCTTACTCCTTGAGAGAGGCAGTTTGAGATTCAAGCCCATCCCCTGACTTTCCAGAGCGCTCGTGGCCGCTGTGCAAGGGCAATGGGCCTCTGATATCCGCACATCCAGGGTTTTGTGTCCTCACACAGGGGAATGTCCCCCCCACCCACGCTGGGAATGTCGCTGGATATCAGGCCCCTCATTCACAGAACCCAGCAGAGAGATTTTATTTCCTCTTCTCCTCCCCTTCTACTTTCCCTGTCCCCCCAGGAATTCACTCCAGATCAAACCCACCATCTCCTACCTGAGCTTGTTCCACTTCAGCCATTTCCCTGCCCTGTCCCCTGGGAGAATAGGACAATCTGGAGCGAGACATGGACGTTATTCTTCAGCCTGTCAGGGTGAGAAGGACAAGGGGGGGGAGGTTTTAGAAGGGGCTTTGGTTCATTTCACACCCCAATACCACCATCCCCATCCCCCCCAGCTCTTTCCCTGCAGACAGAGGATTTAAACTCTGCCAGGCTGGGAAAACACTTGGTCACTTTAGTACCCACTTGAACCAGCATCAGCCTTTGAATTTACACCCACAGTTCTGCACCCACAGTTATTTTCCAGCTATTCCTCTGCCCCCACTGAGTGTGCAAAACGAATCTGTGTGCACAGCTGCAGCTCTGTGCCCATGACACTGCCCTAGGGGAGGACGCATTTGGGGGCTAATTCCCAGGCACATGTCACTGTTTTACCCCTTTCATTGGGTTTGGGGCAGTGCCCCTTTTCTCTGGGAAACCAACTAACCCATCACCCCACTGCAGCCCTGCCCTTCTCTAGGGCTTTCCCTGGAGAGCTCTCAAAGGGCTTCACTTCCCAATCCCTGGGCAGTGGGTCCGGCTCAGGCCCAGCCCAGGGACAGACCCAGAGACCTGCCCAAGGGGGTCAGACAGCAGGGACCCAGCTCCCTGTGCCCCTGGCTGGAGCTTTTCCCCAGAGATCTCCCAGCGCTGTGCAGAGGGGCCCAGCCTCCCCTCCTGGCCCCAGCATGGTCCCCTGGGTCTCTGCATCCCCTGCAGGCTCCAGCTCAGTAGCTGGGGCAGGCAGAGCCCGGGGCTGCCCCAGGAGCCAGTCCCAGTTGGGCTGGGCACAGAGTGGGGTTAATGCAGGTCTCTTCCCAGCACAGACCCCGCTGCAGCCGCTGCTCGGTCCCACTCCCAGACAATGGAGGCGGCAGCAGCAGTCTCTTACCTGGGAAGCTCCGAACCCGAGCAGAGCGAGAGGCAGCAAGTGCAGCCTCCGTAGCCCCCTGGTGGCACCAGCTAATGAAACCCGCTGCCTGCGGGCTGGGAACGTGGTATGTGTCTGGATCCGGGGTGTCCTGACAAACCCTGCTACCAGACAGAATGTGCTGCGTGGCTTGTATGTTTGAATCACTAAAAACATTGTCCAGGGAAACATTTGCATTCTATTGATATGATTAAACATGTGTTCTGGCAGTACCTTCTCCAAGGATTACTGGGTCATGGGGGGGGGGGGGGGCAGATTTACATATTTAGAGATATTACTAACACCAGAGAGCTACGTCCCTTATATGCAAACGTTTGAGCTATAATTTTGAGGAAAAAATTAACTGTACAGTTGGTAAAGCAGCTTCTTAAAGAGATGGTTTATGAACTCATGTGTGTATTGCGCACAGGGACTGAGCATCTGCTGAAGCCGCTGGCCTCGCTCTTGCCTCACTTGGAATTAAAATCTGCTGCCTGCTGTTCACAGAGGGGCAAATGGAGCACATGGGGGATGGAAGGAATGGACAGGGTCTGGAAACTGACTGTGGGGGGCCGGGGCAGGGAGGGGGCCCACGGGCAAAATCAGGGATGTGGGCAGCAGGGCCATTTCAGGTGTGTGTGGGGGGAGACTTTAACCATTATTCCATTCCAGGGGCTACTTGAGGACTAATGACCCACAACAGTTTGCTAGAAAGTAGCATGTTTATTAACACTGATAGCTAAGCTCAAAAAAAGGGGGGGGCAGACTCACACTTGCATACTCACACTCCCAGGACAGGCACAGCACTGGAGATGTCAGGATCCGTCAAGGTAAGTGTCCCACAGCGCAGTGATGGATGGTGTGATGAAGGTAAGTCTTCCCGAGGCACGATGGAATGCAATGTGGTAAACCACTGGCCAGGTGGTCCGGGCAAAGGGCCTTCATGGGAGGTACAAGCTTGTGAGTGCACTCCTGAGCACATGGCCCTTTCCCCTTTTAAGGACCTGCTCCTCATGGCCTGCGACTAGAGATGACTTGGCTGCGTCTGGTTGGTCACACTCCACCTCGGGCAGTGTCCATGCAGCGTCCATGCATTGGGTGTGTGATCGCTGCCTAATTAGAGTCCCAGACACCTTATCTACCTGGGAGTTCTTCTGATCTTCCAGCTGTTCAACCAGCTCATTCATCCCACAAGCATTCCAGGAGGGAGGGGGAAAGCCACTCCACAGGTATTCAAAGAGGGAGAGGAGACAAAGGGGGGTGGGGGTGTAACAGACCTTTTGAGCATACAGGTTATACAGAGCATAGTCATACAGAGCATACAGATCACTGCTGCTCCTACAACAGTTTTAAGTGTAATTTAAACAATATTTGTGGTGGTGGCAGCTCAGGCTTGTTTCTTCACAGCAGGGAAAGATTACAAGTTCTCTGTTCTGCAGCACGGCTCTTGCACCCTGGCTGTGCTTTATTTTCTGCATTTATCTAAGTGTAGACAATGGAAAAAATCAGTTCTACAACTTAATTCATTTCACTTTCAATGTCCTAGTGCGCCAATGTTTAGGTTTCAAACACTGCACAGGAATCTTGGTCTAAGAACTATTTTCACTCAGATATGTCGCCTTTTAAAAAAGGTTTTGGAACCTTTAGTAGTCTACGGTTTTATAACTTATATTTTTTTAAAAGCTAAGTTATTGGTGCTGGAATGAGGGATACTGGGGGTGCAGCACCCCCTGGCTTGAAGTGGTTTCCTTCACATACAGGGCCAGCACAGCGGCTGCATGATCTCTAGATTATTCTTGGACATGACATTTTTGGAGATCTTTCTAATTCATCATGAAAGACATTTTCAGATTATGTTTTGTAACTTGGTCTTTCACCACTAACATAAATGAGCTGATGCTAAATTACAGGGGTTAAAATGAACATTTAAAAGTTTGTCAAGGGCGAAAGTAGCATTAGAAAGAAAGTATGTGTATTAATTAACAAAAGAAGGGGGGTGAAACTAATGATGGCTCAAAAGTAACTGAGGTACCAGACTTTAAAAAAAAAAATCTCTTAAAAAGTCACCTCACTACATAAATTAAATGATGGATGTTAGCAGCATGGATTTACAAATGTTGGCAGCCAAATCTTACTAATTGTTCAGATTGGCTTGGGTTTATGTGCCCTGAAGGGTTAATACAAATAGTGATGATAAATACAAAGGATTAAGTTGGAAGAATTTGAGAGAGTAAACAACATATCAATGAAATTCACGGGTGGTACTCAAGTTTGTGAGACTCTGCCACCCTCAGAAATATTAAAGAGTAACTAAACAGAAGCTAAGATTACTTACCAGTTGGAAGAGAAGGACATACAGCACAGCAGACACACAGCTATAAAATGGCTGCTTAGGGGCAGCAGTTGCTTGTATCTGCACAAAAGAACCAGTAGCTCCTCAAAAGGGGGAGGGGGGGAGAGATCCTAGAAAAATGCAACCCTGAGGAGATTTGGTAAGATCAAGGCATTCCCAGGGGAATCAGTATTTGTGTGTAACAGCCTATATAGCCCTACCTGGTAACCTGACCCAAAGCCCCGTGTAGGCAAAGGAAAACCTCTCAGACAAGTAGGACTAACTGGCAGAATTAATGGCCACACTGGGGTACCACCAGACTCTTTGTTGTTTTTGTAGATACAGACTAACACGGCTACCCCCTGATACTTGACTGGGGTACTGCCATTCCCCAGATTGGAGAATTGGAAAAAATGGGAAAGTTTTAAGCATAATGTAAGTAATATTTGTGGCATGACGTGTCATATTTGTTTCTTGACAGCAGGGAAAGATCCCAGGTGGTCATTCTTCAGCACCACTCTTGCAGCCTGAAACTTGAGCTAGCTGTGGGGATAATTATTCCCCGAATGTGTGTGGGGCAGCAGCCCCCTCCTCCCCTGCCTGAGCAACCCTGTGTCTACTGGTGCCACAAGGGGCTTGCTCCTGCCTTTGTAACATGTGAAGTGAGGGTCAGTCTATGCAGATCATGATGACATTTGCAGCAGGCATCTTCTGACCTAAGCACAGAGCTTCCTGCCCCTGACCGCTCCCAGTGAGCATGTTTGTTTCAATGAAAAGAATGAATTTGAAAAAAGTGCTGCAGAAGCCCCCAGCCTTGCTATTGGCTCTGCCAGATACACCTCTGCATTCCTATTGGCTGAGCAAAGACTAGCCAGCCCAGGGAGGGGTGTGGGAGAAGAGCGAGTGACTTTCAAGCAGTTTGCTCTGGTTCCTGGCTTGGGGGGGAGGAACAAGCCGCGTAGTTTTCACTGGGGAGGGGCGGGGGAAGAGGAGTAAGCCAGGCAAGCAAAGTGACTGCTGCTGTCTCCTTTGTGTTTTGCATTTGCTGCTGCAGTTCTTGCCAATCGGGAGATGGAACCAGTATCTCAGGAGCTCTGACTCCAGCTGCTCCTGATTTCTTGACAGCCAGGAGCCAAGCAGGAGTTTGCATTGGCTGGGCCTTTTGTTCTGCTTGATGAGTGTGACTGCTGCTCTCACTCAGGCTGGGGAGGGGGGGAGAAGAGCGAAGTGACGCTAGCAGCATGCGGCTGGGGGTGGGTAGCAGGGAGCCAGGGCTAAGCCCAGGGGTGAGGTGCTGCCAGATGGTGGCTGACGGCAAAGCCCTGGGGCACAGGGAGTGGCAGAGGGGGTAACAGCTGGGGAGCTGGAACAATTTGTACAGTGGGGGTGCTGAGAGCCATCGAACCAAGCTGCAAACCCTGTATATCACGGAAACCACTTCAGCATCTATGGGTAACAGTTACCCCAATGGGATGAGCCACCTGCCATGTTTGCAAAAATAGAGTGTAGGGCAGAGGGACTTCTTTATTCCCCCTTGCACAGGACAGTACGTCTCAGCACAGGCTTTCCAGGGCTGGGTTCTTAACGGCACAGGTATCCCAATGCCTAGACATGGCAGCGTCTCTATCGGATATAACGTGCTGAGATGCTGTACGAGACTTGATTCCGTGAACAATTTAACATACACCCCCAAAAAACTGTGTCACACATCTTGAGTATTTAAAAGAATCCCTTATCACTTTATATGGCTGCATAGAGCCTCCTGGCAGTTGACACATTTGTTTTATCTACTGCTGGCATTCCCTGAATTGTGCTCCCTTTCTTGTAATTTATTTTAAATATAGTTTTGCTCCTTCTAATTGTTTACCTTTTACAATGTCGTTACTCTTGGCACTTCATCATTTACCTTTGTCAACACTGTGCAGATGGATGTCATTGTGCTATTTAATTTCTATTTTAATAGCAAATCATTGAAAATATTCAGAAGTAAATAGTGGCTAGTAGTTTTAGCAATGACGTCTGTGTTTCTAGTATAGCATTTCCTAGGCTTTTACTGTGACTTTTAATTTGGAATTTTTAATTCTAAATTTTTATTTTTGTAGCGCAAGTTTATTCTGTTGGATCCTGTGACTTCCAGCCTGACTGATCTCTTGGCCTGGTGTCAAAACATCTTCACTTTCATTTGATCCACCAATGGGGATTGCTTTTCACAACTGTTGCTTTGCCTCTCAATCCAGCCCTTACTGCCTTTTTGCATGTCTCTGCTTGCAACCGTGTAGAACTTGGTTCCCAAAT